AACCAAATCCCCAAAAGTTGGCACTGTGATTTTTATGAATAATCCAGTAACTTTAAAACAATATTTATTTATTTAGCTGCGTCAGGTCTTAGTTGAGGCACGCAGGATCGTTCGTTGGGGCGCGTGGGCTTCTCTCTAGTTGTGGTGTGCAGGCTCCAGAGCGCATGGGCTCAGTAGTTGTGGCGCGCGGGCTCTAGAGTGCATGGGCTTAGTTGCCCTGCAGCATATGGGATCTTAGTGCCCCAACCAGGGATCGAATTCCACGTCCCCTGCATTGGAAGGTGGATTCTTAACCATTGGACCACCAGGGAAGTCCCAATCCAGTAACTTTTAAATGAAATATTTCTGATATTCATCTTGGCCCCAGTGTATGAGTATAAAGTATTGTAAACATGGAGAAAGCAAGCATGGGCTTTCTATCTTAAAAGTCCATTTATACTGTACAACTGCATTGGTTCAAATCCTAGCTCCACCCTTTACTGTCTGTGTGAGCTTAGGCAAATAATTCAACCTCTCTGAGTCTTCGTCCTGGTCTGTAATATGAGAACAATGAAATTATTGACCTTGTACGGTTGTTATGAGAATCAAATTAGTCATTATGTGAAAAGTACTCAGAACAGTTTTTGGCTGATAGTGAGGGCTCAGAAATGCTGACTATTACTGCCCAGGGCTCAGTAGTAGCAAACCCTTCACTGCTAATTAGCCAGGGATTAACCCTGCTTGCTGACACTGTGAATTTTTTTAGAGTTTCTGCAGATAGAATTTATGTATAGAAAAGACATCTGTCATTACTTTGTTTTTTTGGAATTAATCTTTTGAATTAATTATTTTAAAATTAATCTTCAATTTATTAAATTCATATACATTTTAAAATTTAGTTTTTCTTAAGTCTTCAAGTTATCTTTATAAATCTCAACATTCTATTTATAAATTTAAATAACCACTTTCGAGGGGGATCTTTAACATTTGGTCAACTCAAATTCAATAGACCAAACCTCCTTAAACAATTGATTCCATTTACAACTTAAATTCCATCAAATGTTTTAAACTACAGTATTAAATTTAATATATTTAAATTTCTTCTTTTGACGAAACTGAACAATAAACCTAACTATTTACACTATTCTGCTAAGGTCTAACAATTTCAGTTTATAAAGTATGCCTCCTTTTCCCCATAGGCTGTGATATTTATTGCAACTTATCTATCCATTGTGTCTGCATCTCAACTAAGCTGTAAACCATGGGAAGTGGAGGTAGGGCCAGTTCTGTTTTGCTAAGTAGTGACTGGCACATGAAGAACTTTGAAGGCCAAAAAGGATTTGAATTGGTAGAGGCCAGAGAGTATTCCAGACTGGGAAAAATACCAGCAAAAGTTATGGATAGTAATGGTGGTATAAAGACTTTGTTCATATTTGCCAAGTCTTGCTCATGATAATCTTATATACATTTATATGCACACACATACCAGGGTATACAAAATGCAGGTACATTCTGAGTGAAATCGAGGAGGACCCTGTGGGGTTTTCCTGGGAACAGAACCTCCTCCTTCCCCGCTTCCCCAGTGTCTCCTGCCCTTGTTTGTAGAAAAACTTTAGCCTCCTAAGCCTTCCCTGAGTTTCAAAGAGCAAATTTAATCAGAGAAGTGAAAAACTGTAAAAACAAAGGAAAGCAGTCTAGCAAGACAAGGCTGAGCCATATCCTTGAGTTGTTTTACAGACACTAAAACCCCCACCAGATGGAAGATGGTGACTGCATGTTGACCACCAGCACGGAGACCCCAGACCAGCTGGAACCAGAAAACTGATAATTAAGATGCCTGAAACAACATCACCTTGTTACCTCACCATCAACCAATCAGATAACTGAGCATGTACTGATCATGTACCCTCACACTGTTTTAAAAAACCCTCCCCTAGGACTTCCCTGGTGGCACAGTGGTTAGGAATCTGCCTGCCAGTGCAGGGGACAGGGGTTCAAGCCCTGGTTTGGGAAGATCCCACATGCTGCGGAGCAACTAAGCCTGTGTGCCACAACTACTGAACCTGTGCTCTAAGCCCGCGAGCCACAACTACTGAAGCCTGCACGCCTACAGCCCATGCTCCACAACAAGAGAAGCCACCTCAATGAGAAGCCTGTGCACTGCAACCAAGAGTAGCCCTGCTTGCCACAACTAGAGAGAGCCTGTGTGCAGCAACGAAGACCCAACACAGCCAAAATAAATAAATAAGTAAAATAAATTTATTTAAAAAAAAACCCTGCCCTAAAAGTCATTGGGGATTTTGGGTCTTTTGAGCATGAGCTGCCTGTTCTCCTTGTTTGGCCCTGCAATAAACACTGTACCTACCTTCACCACAACTGGGTGTCAGTAGATTGGCTTTGCTGTGTGTTGGGTGAGCAGACCCAAGTTTGGTTCAGTAACCTGAGTAGCTGGATAACTATTTTGTTGTTGTTGAGGATTTGGGATCAAAATACGTGAAACTGTGTTACTGGAAAACTGGGTTTGCCTCTTGGTGGGTGTTGAGCCAAAAGACACAACCAAGCCAGAGATCGGGAGACAGAAGGATTTATTACTTGCAGCCAGTAAGGAGAACACTGGGGAACTTTCTCAAAGCAGTGTCTTCCCAAACAGCAAAACTGGGGAAATTTTAAGCTAAGGGATATTCATGAAGGGGCTTGAGAAGAGGAGAATTCAACATTAAATTGGGGCAAAAGTAAACAGATTCCAAGCTTTAGGTGACTGAAGTCAGAAGGGTCAGAAAAGGTCAACATCATCATCACTTAGGTTCCAGTTGATCTGGTGGTTGAGCGCTGGGGCCCGGGTTGGGGGGTGTTTAAATTCTGCAAAACAGCTGAAGAAAGTGCTTCAGGCTAATCTTTACCTTTGAAACAGAACTAGGAGTCTTTACAGCTGATTTGTTATCTGTGCTATTGTTACTATTGTTACTTTTCTTGCCTGGTAACAGTCCTTTGTTCTTTTGTTCCCTTAGATCATTACTACTGAGACCTGTTCAAAGGCAAGCACTGTGGCCAGGCTTACATTACAAAATGGGTTAGGCCTAAAATGGCTTCTCTAAAAAACATGAATAAAGTATAATGCTGATTAAGTTACCCTCTCACCCGCCCCCGCCCCCTGCAAAAAAAAGAAGTTGATATAAAAGTTTAAAAAAATAAAATGGCTCTCTTATGTCAAGTAAGCCATGCCTGGTTCTCTTTCTCTGGGGGATGCCCCTACCCTATTTGCTTACAACTGTATTTTTTTTTCTGGATTTTTATCTCTGATAAAAGATTTTATGATATCTACAAGCCAATCTTCTCAAACCTCCATCAGTCTAGGTCACTGACTGACTTTTTAGGAATAGAGATTAAAGGTATCATTTCCTCACCCCCTGAAACGCTAATTGATATCAACATAATGCCATCAAAATGGCCTTTTGGGGGGAAGTTAAATGTACTTCTAAACTAAATCATGCAATTCTGTGGGTATGCACTTTGTGAGCTTTAAATAATGACAAACCTTTATTTTGAGCAGTGTCAGAATTGGAGTTATAGGTGCATTCATGAAAGAAGCATGATTATAGACATCATCAGTTAAAAATATATTGTATGAACGCTATAAGACATCTATACATAAGGATACAGGAGATTTTTAGAAAGAAGTAGTTTTCTGCAATTATCTTATTTCCCTAAGATTGAAGAATATAAATATATGCCTACCCATAATTGAGACTTCCAGAATGCAGTTATTTCCCCAGGGCTATGTCTCCCTTGCATCATTTTTACCATATATTCTTTTATTTTTATTTTTTTACATCTTTATTGGAGTATAATTGCTTTACAATGGTGTGTTAGTTTCTGCTTTATAACAAAGTGAAACAGTTATACATATACATATGCTCCCATATCTCTTCCCTCTTACGTCTCCCTTCCTCCCTACAACTGTATTTTATATGCTCAGTTAGCTCATAAATAAGATACTGTGAAGACTCCATCTCTGAAGTCCTTTCCATTTTTCATGCCTTATTCTTGGATAGTCTCCCCACTGGCCCCCCTCCATCTCAACTATTTTATCCCACCATCAGACAAAACTCACATACATTTGATTCATCAAAAATTTATTGAGCCTACCACTTACAGGCTAGTGTTCTAGAAGGCTCTTGGGATGCCTCAGGGAACAAAACAAAGACCCCTGCCCTTAAGGATCTTACATTCTAGCCAGGTTGACAGACACAAACATAAAAGCAAATCATAATAGTATTTTAAGAGGTACTAAGCGCTTTGGAAAAAAAATTGTAGAGCTGGGAAAGGGAGATGGAGCCAAGTTTTCACATCTGGAATTTTTAAATGAAGGTGTGTAAAATCTACATGAAAAATACTTTTATGGGTCTTGTCTTTTTGCTTTTTTGTCTGCCCTCTTGGGCGCAGATGTCTCTTTGCTGCCTGGGAATTTGGACAGTATGAAAATAACTACCATTTACAGATACGCTCGCGGCTACCAGGCACCTTTGACGATTAGTCCATTTAATCTTCATTATACTGGAAAAGGCAAGTATCATCTTTCCCCTTTACACAGGATGAAACTGAAGCGCACAACTGGATAGGCATCAAAGCTCTCGAGTGCAAAACAGAGATTTAGGTTGACAGCTCCTGGTTATCTAAGGGAAGCACACTCCCCGGACTCCTTTAAGTCAACGTGGGTGAGGTGTGCGAGCCCTCCCGGAGCCTAGACCGAGTGCGGCTAGGCGGAGCCAGCGAGAAGGACGTGATCTCAGTTCGGGAAGTAACGCCGGGACCCAAGACGACACCAAGCCATTGGCGAGCGTGGCCGGAGCCAGGCGCGCTTGCCGGGTCAGGGGGTGGGGCCTGGACGTAAGGGGGCGGGGCCCCCATCCTCCAGTGAAAAGGGCTCCCGGAGTGGTTTGTCCTACTTTGCTGCCGGTAGAGGCTCCGAGTTGCCGCCCCTCCCCCGGGAGTGGTGGAGATTCGATCACGTGACAGCCTGGAGGCCGGAACTGGGCAGGTTGTGGAAAGCGCAGAGTTTTGACAAAAACAAGTGGCGACGTTGACATCGCAGGGTCTATGGCCGAGGCGGTGAGGCCCCCGCGCCGGGCCAGGGCCAAGGCCAAGGCCAGCCGGACTAAAACCAAGGTGAGGGAACCCGCCCATCCCATCCTCGCCAGGCCCTGGCAGGTGCGCTGTCTTTTTTCCTTCTCTTCGGCCTCTCCAGCCCACTCTGCCCGTCCCCTGAGCCCCTCTCATCCTCTGTCCCCACCTCCCCGTATTTGATCCCCCCACCCATTGACACCAGACTTGTTCTTCTGTGCCTCCTTCACGTTTCTCTGCCGGACTTTGTCAGGAGCCTTTTTTTTTTCTTTTTCCTCCTGTGACCTCACTAGGCTCTTCCTTTTCTGCTCCTTTCTTGACTTTCCTCACCCGGGTCTAGATTCCTATCGTGAAGCAGCTTTTCTCTTCCCAGTCTCATCTTTAACTCTCCTTTTCTCCTTTATAATCTGTGAACATTTTCAGTCCCTCTTCCCATAAAGAGGGAAGGGACCCCTCCTCCACTCAAGAATGTATCCTTTGGAAGAGCTTTACAGATAGAGACAGAAAGTAGGCTGTAGTGATGTGCCTTTTCAGTTTAAAAATTCAAGATCACAGCGGTGCTGCTGCTGTTTATTTCTCATTATCCTGGTTGTTTATGATGGGGCACGAATGACCAGAAATTAAACCAGAGCGGGACTCATACAGCAGGGACAGATCTGAATTTTCTGGGTTTCCTGGATTATACTAACGTGTGGTATTGGTGTGATTTAAAGTTGATTTGTCTTGTTTGCAGGCGCAGTCTGGGCTTTCATTTCGTACCCATATGTTTTCTGAAATGACGTTTATTTTACAGTGAACAGATTAAATGCTGCCCGTGGATAGCTGGACATATATAATTTTGGCTTACCTGAAACTGAATTTATATTAAGGAAATAATGAAGGTGGTATTAAAAATACAGGAAATTTCCTTTCCTACAAGTAGGTGATGTTCCAGAGCAGGTGTAACTTAAAAGTGATACGAAAATAGGATTTTCTCATGAGAACAAGATTTTAGCAGGAGACTGGTGTTCAAAGCTACCATATTTAATAAGCTGTAAATGACTTATGTAGATCCCTTTCATTATGATGCCTTTAAAAAAAAACTGTAGTGGAGTTATGTGCATCAGTGTACCCAGGTCTGTGAGGAATTACTCTGGGGAGAAAGCCATTTTGCTACTAATTTCAGAAACGTTTTTAAGAGAAGTAATTTTGCATTGTATTGGGCTGGTAAAGGACTATCTAAATAGAGGAGGAAGTAAAAAGCCATTGGTCAGCCATGCATAAGGTCCCTGAACCTAGAATATAGTAGTGTATAACATGTAAACATCCATCTGTAGAGAGCAGAATCTTAATTCTCAATCTGTAGGGTTTTTTTTTTCAAAATGAATGATGAAACTAAAGCCTAGGTAAGTTAAATGGTAAGCCAGAAGTCATGCAGTTAGTAAGAGACTCAAGTTAAAGCCCAAAATCTTAATTCTCAGTCCAGTAGTTTAATAATTGTTCTACATATCTATGTGTATCTATAGCTAGAACGTTATAAATACTTTAAAATGGTCAGTTAAGAGGATTCTCTGTTATTTTGTTTAGAACAGATTTTCTAAAATTAAAAATCAACTTAAATCTATCATGAAAAACCAATTGCTCGGGCTTCCCTGGTGGCGCAGTGGCTGAGAGTCTGCCTGCTGATGCAGGGGACATGAGTTCGTGCCCCGGTCCGGGAAGATCCCACATGCAGCAGAGTGGCTGGGCCCGTGAGCCATGGCCGTTGAGCCTGCGCGTCCAGAGCCTGTGCTCCACAATGGGAGAGGCCCGCGTACCGCAAAAAAACCAAACAACAACAACAACAACAAAAAAACCAATTGCTCATTTTATTTTTTTAAAGATTTATTTATTTATTTTTTGGCTGTGTCAGGTCTTAGTTGCGACACGTGGGATCTTTGCTGAGGCGTGTGGGATCTTTTCGTTGTGGCGTGCAGGCTTCTCTCTAGTTGTGGCATGTGGGTTTTCTCTCTTCTAGTTGTGGTTGTGGTGCACAGGCTCCAGGGCGCGTGGGCTCTAGTTGAGGCCTGCGAGCTCAGTAGTTGTGGTGCATGGGCTTAGTTGCCCCGTGGCATGTGGGATCTTAGTTCCTTGACCAGGCATGGAACCCGCATCCCCTGTATTGTAAGGTGGATTCTTTACCACTGCGCCACCAGGGAAGTCCCCAGTTGCTCATTTTATTGACACATTGTGGGCAACCTCCCTACACAAACATAAATTTATTTTTTATCTTTTAAAATTTATAAAGAGGCCTTAATTCCAGAGGTATTTGATCAAACCAGAAATCTTTGACATACTTTTAGTCACCTTTCAAATCTAGTCAGTCACTAAGGCTTGCCAATTGTATTTTGTAACTATTGTCTTGATTCTGCCCATTGCTCTCCATCCTGACTAACTCAACCGTCCTCCAAGGAAGATTTCTTGGATTTTTGCTAAAATGGCCTTTCCAAGTTCATTCTTGCTACCCATTCTCTAAACTGAAGCTGGATTGATATTTTTATAAACAAACCCCCAAAATGATTGCTCTCCTATTTAAGACCTTTCAAAGATTTCCCATTGCCCAGAGTCCAAGATTCCAAAGTATGGACTCAAGGCCCTAAACTGTCTGGATTCTGTCTTTCTCCTCAGCCTCTGGTCTTCACTACTATCTCTTTTGATTCTCAACTGTATATGTCCTTTCCTGCTTTAGGGCCTTTTCTCATGCTCTTTACTCTGCGCTGACACCTCTTCCTGTCCCTCTTCACCTGCTCATTCGTGAGGTCTCTGCTTAAACCTCATCGCTCTCATCACCCACATTGCCACCGCCCCCAGCCCCCACCAGTAGCGCTCTGCACCCCTTTGTGTCACTCATCTCACTTGCAGTTAGTTTGGTAACGTCTCTCTTCTCCCTTAGACTGTGAACTCAGTGAGGGAGGGACCTGTCTTTTTCCTAATACCCTTTACAGCCCTTGTAGGCATTTGCTAATGTTTGTTGAATGAAGGAAAAAATACCAGTATTGAAGAATATTTCCAAGCTTTGTCACTCAGAAGAATTTACTCTGGTAAATTTCCTCTAAATAGTATGAGAAAACAAATGGAAAAAATCCATGACATCAGCAAGGCCCTCATACTTGTCAGTTTAGAAAATTGATTCTTCTCTTAGAGTAAATAGATTTATTACTTAGTGCTGGTTATGGTTTGCTTATGATCATGAAGTCCTACATTAATGAAACCTTTACCATTGTGGTATAATTTGGTTACTGTTAGTGGAACCATAAAGTAGTTCCAAGGCTCATTTCAGGAAGTGAGGAATGTCATGTGATTTTGCCTTTCGATAGTTTGACCCAGCAGCTGACCTATATTCCTTAATGTTAATCATTTGGAAGATGAGCTCACATTGCTAGTTGGTGGTTATCTGGTGCTTATCACTTGCTACCTAAGAGATAGTCCTGATTAGTTTCACCCACCTTGGAGGACCCTGACTTCATTGATCATGGTAGATTATAGGTTAAGAACAGTAGATTTTTAGATTGGATTTACTCTGCAGAAGCAATATATTTTATAGTCGTGGAAAGTTTTTTTGCAGTTAATACTAAATTGTGAATGCCGACAACTCATTAATAGTAAGAGCATATTGTAATTGCTAAGGATAGACTGAGATGTGTCCCAGAAAACTGATAACAGAAACAGAGACCTTTAAATCCCCATCGCCTCTTGCTTCTTGGCCTAGATGATTTCTACCTCTTAGTCCCTCCTTCCCATGAGTGATTATAGGAGTGAAGTTGGGGGATGTTCTATATTATTTAGCTCCTGTTGTGCCTCCTAAGATCCATTTATTTGTTGAATAAACGCTCATCGATCACCCACTATGTCCCAGAAACTGTTCTAAGAACTTGGGATGTAAACAGAGGAAAAAAAACAAAAACAAAAACAAAAAAACCTGGCCTTAACGTAGCTTGCATTCTAGAAGGAGAAGACAAACAGAAAACTCCATAAAAAAATAAATAAAATGTATAGTATATTAGAAGATGACAAGTGCTCTGGAAAAAGGAAAAGAGGAACAGGGTAAGGAGCTGAGTACTGGTGATTAGGATGGGTTGTGAGTTGTTTTTTTAAATAAGTTTATTTATTTATTTATTTATTTATTTATTTAATTTATTTATTTTTGGCTGTGTTGGGTCTTTGTTGCTGCACGCGGGCTTTCTCTAGTTGTGGCGAGTGGGGGCTACTCTTCGTTGTGGTGCATGGGCTTCTCATTGCAGTGGCTTCTCTTGTTGCGGAGCACGGGCTCTAGGCGCGCAGGCTTCAGTAGTTGTGCCTCGCGGGCTCTAGAGCACAGGCTCAGTAGTTGGGGTGCACGGGCTTAGTTGCTCCGCAGCATATGGGATCTTCCCGGGCCAGGGCTCGAACCCGTGTCCCCTGCATTGGCAGGTGGATTCTTAACCACTGTGCCACCAGGAAGTCCGGGTTGTGATTTTTATATAGGCAGTCAAGGTAGTCCTTACTGAAGGTGAAATTTAAGTAAAGACATGAAAGAGGTGAGGGAGTTAGCCATTTGGATCTTGGGAACACCTGGGGCAAATGCTTTAAGGCAGTAGCAGTGTCCTTAGGGTGGAGTGCGTGAGGGGAGAGTATTTGGGAGAGTATTTGAAGTCAGGAAGGTGACACAAGGCCAGGTCGTGTAGGGCCTTATAGGCCATTGTAAGGATTTGTACTTTGAGTGAAATATGGAATCACCTCAGGGTTTCAAGCCGAGGTGTGATATGATCTAAGTAATTTTAAAGGGTCACTGTGCTTGCTTTGTTGAGAACAGACTGTAAGGGGGCAAGAGTACAAGCAGAGAGACCTTCTAAGAGATTTTTGCTGTGATCCAGGCAGGAGGGGATGGTGGCCTGGACCAGAGTTGTAAAGCAGAGGTGGTGAAGATCTAGCCAAGACTATTTGTTGGTGGTTTGGTTGGGATATGAGAAAACAGTCAGGGGTGACTCTGAGAGGGAGGAGGCAGTGAGTAGGACAACTTTTGGAGGCAGATCAGGAGTTCAGTTTAGGACATGCTAATTTTGAAATAAATGTGTGTCAGACATCCAAAT